TTGCCAAATGCCCCATGGGTCTTGTCTGAGTTCTTCTTCATAGACTGGAAGCTGCTCCTGTTTACCACGAGCTGAAGCTCTTCCTCAGTCAGTGGAATTCCAAAGAAAGCAGCGATGTTTTTCACACCCAGGGCACGATTCTGGAAAGGCAAAGCAAGATATGACGTGACTTGCAAACCAGTTATGCTGCTTTCCAGCAGGTTTATACTTCCTTACATCTCGGTGCTTGCTACATACATAGAATATTCATAGAGTTCAGTAGGATTAGAGTGGTCCATAGTGCTTCTCTTCTCCATAATTATTTCAGAGGAGATATGAGCTGTCTTCCTATAGATTKCAAAAGATTAGCTATGATTTACAGGTGAGCAAACTCTACACTGTTGAGTACATAAAAGCTCCTGCCAAAAAAAATTACTGGGGATTTAGATTTACAATTATTTGGGTTTATATCACAGAAAAATAAAAAACAAGAATAATTTTCACAAACAATATTTTAAGAAGGTCTTTAAGTTTGAAGGTYACCTTTTCCTCCCTTGAGAGAAGAATCTTTCTCACATGGCTTGAATACCCTACATGAGTGAATTGSTTTAGGAAAAAAATGTCCCTTGAAGTATAAAATATTGTAACTGTGGATAACCTTACCTCTTTTAGCTCTTCATAAGTTATTGCCATAATATTTTCTTTATCAGTGTATTTGCTCCATTCAGAAACATATTCAAAGTAGCATCCCCAGGGCACTAAATAAAACAGAAGAATCCTGWGATGAAGCATAACTGAGGATTATACAAGCTCCTTATAAAATAAACCTAGTTGTCCTCATTAAGTTGATTCAGCCAAGGATTTTATTAATCRTGTCTATGGCAGAGTTCACATGGCTTCTGTCAGAATTCTAGGTGTTGCTTCAGGCTCAGGCATATGATACCATTTGTAAGTCAGAACAGCACAGCTTGTTGGTATTTCAAGACAGCTGTGAGTCCACCAAAAAGCTGTCGTCTTGCGGACCATCATGCCGACTTCCTTAATGCAGTCTAAAACCTTGTTGAACCCTCCCTTCTGCTGGCCATGTGCTATGCCAAACACATGTAATTTCAAACTGGTGGCATTATTTTCTCTCTTTTTTAATACATTAGACTTAGTCCAAATAATTAATTTCATCCAATTTGGCATTGTAGTGGTTATATGTCTACACAGACACAGGATGATGGACGTGGAAGAGGAGGGGTAAAGGGGACCCAAGACAGAGATGTGGAAGAACTGCTTCYTCCAGGAAAATATCAGTTTGTACAAATTAAAGAAGTTTGTTTAAGTAAAGTTTTGACAAGGATTTCTCCTCAACACTAAGACAAGTACTGTAAATTTCAGTTCAGATTTCTAATTCTCTCTTTAAGCTCTGCTTTTGTGCTGTAAACCAAAACATCCTAGATAAGCTGATATACTGAAGTAGAAGCATTTTTAGGCAAAGACAAATCACGGGATAATTGACAAAGACAGAATGATATACTGTACTTTTCTTTGTCATGAAATCTCTGAAGAAATCATCCCAGGTATCATAGGAGGGAAAACTAGCCAGGCCTTTGGAAAAATGATAAAATGATGTAGCTACATCCTTTGGATTACGAATCAGTAACAATATCTAGAAAAAAAAAATATTTGTAGAGAAAGACATAGCAGACCAGAGCATTAAAATAATTATAACAATATTAATAATAGCAATAATAATAGTAATACACTTTATAACTGCAGTTGAGAATTTCTAATATCTTGTATGCAACTTGCAGAAGTAGCAATTTAATTCCAAATTCAGAAGATGCAGTATTTAACTTTCATTTGGTACCATGAGAAAATGGTGGCCGACACTTATTATCTTTCACAGATTAACCAGATTAATGYTGCAGAATCTAARTATGTTTTTCTCAATGCAAGCATAGTTCATCATTTTGATAGCAGGGAAAAATCATAAAAMCACAAATTCTCTCTGAATTGTGACACATTGGAGCCTTCACTTGCCATAAAATTCCTCCCACAGGAAACCATATCAAATTACATTTTGTCTCTGGAGGATTTGTTCAAGTCCTGCAACTCCCTTGTGGAAACTGTCACAAAGATGCCAATAAGGACAAACTAAGGTTAAGTGACA